ACAGTTGATGCTGGGACCTGAACTGCAGCTTCATGGGCTTTGGAGCCTGTAGCTGCCAGGGGCTAGAAAGGTCAGAGACTAGCACTGAGCTGTTTTTTTTTTTTCTCTGTAATTCTATATCTGTCAATACCCAAAGGGTATGACCTCCTTCTAATTAGCTTCCTCTAATAACTCACCCAGGAGCTGTCACCAACTACTGTTTCTACAGGGATCCAGAGAAGGGAACAACTCTGTGTGGCTAGAGTAGACAGAAAAGCTTCAGCAGGAAGGATTTCTTTCATTACAATTGCTGAGGTGTGACATTCCATGAACACATGCCAATTTGTTCCCTGTGTGTTGTTCCTTTCTTCATTCATTTAACAAGAATTTATTGAGTATCTGATATCTGCCAAGGTATACAGAGAGGCACTGAATACACAAAGATGAATCAGTCACGGTTTTTGCTTTCAAGGATCTCAGTTTGGGTGGGTGTGGAGGAGGCAGCCATGTAAACAGATAATTAGAGAGGAACACGGCAGGTGCTGGAACCAAGGTAGGAACGTGGTGCTGGATGGGAGCCCTGGGGAGGGAGGGACAGCTTTACCCAGAGGAAGAATCAGAGTGGTCTATACTGAGGACCTGACCTCTGAATTGAACATTGAAGACCTAGGGAAATTTGACCAGTGGAGGGGTTAGCACATGTTAACAGTATATAGTCATGGGAAAGAAAGAATGGGATTAGGAAGTGGCAAATATTTAGTACAGAGGGTTTTGGGGCTGGGGGATTGGTAGGTAAAATAGCGGGGGAGTGGTTGAGGTCAACCCAGTCTGCATTAGATTTTGTTCTGTTGATTTGGAGAATCACTGGGGATTCAAAGTAAGGGAGTAAGAGCCACAGATTGGATTGTTATATAATATAGTATGATGTAATAATATATATACACTATAATATATTATAATAATATAATATGATAGTAATGGGATTTGGTCTGAAGCATCAATGGTTAGTCATTTGGGTTGAGACAGAGTTACCAATTCAATGCCAACAGGGACGAGGCAGATAACATAAAACAAGGAGCAAGGTCAGGAGGTCGTACAGCCCTGCAGCGGGTAGGTGCTACTCAACTTAGTAAACTGTTGCCCCAATAGAAGCTTAGGCCCAGGGCTGTCAGAGCTTCTGAGTTTTCAAGAGTAGCTGGAAATCCAGATCCTTATGTAAAAAAAAAGTCTCACCATTTTTAAATGTTGGCAACTACTTTAAATTCTACAAAATGTTGTGTGGCCAAGTATAACACATCTACCAGCCTGATCTATCTGCAGGCCACTGGTTTGCAACTTCTGGGTTGAGAAAAGAGTTTTCTTTCTTCAAAAGAGAGATGAGATGAAAATAGCTTCGGATCCAATGATTCAGGCCTGAAATGACCTTCTTTCATTCTTGTTCTAGAAAATTCCTAATCATTACTTAAGGCTCAGTTTCATTCCCCTTTGTGAAGCTTTCCTCATCAGCTCCCCTCTCCCCGACACCCTCAAAGACCTGCCACATCTCCCAAACATGTGTACGCTGCATCTTTTACATGCTCTGATACCTGAAAACAAAGGCAAAAACAAAAACATAAGTTGTGGAGCAGTAGAGAAGCCAGGGCCAGAAAAGACAGAATTGTTGATTTATGGATGGAACCAAGACTTGCAGAGGTAGATGAAACTCACAATATAGGCCACTTCCTCCTGGTAGGACTGTCTGGGCTGGAAGAAGCAACTAGATCTGAAAGGGAAGATGAGGTGCTGGAGAAGAGGTTGGACTTTGAGAACTCAATACTGAAGCTTGACACTGAGTTTATGTAGGACATAATTCTTAAGCAGGGTTGCGTGCCATTTTTGAGTCTGTAATCATATCTCTCTTTAGTTACTGCTGATCCTGAGATGCTGAAGATTGACTTGGGAGTTTTCCATGAAGGGATTTCAGCTATGGGGGTGGAGTGGACATCTGTTGTTTTTGCTGTCCAATTGCCTTCCATTTTTCTCTTGATTTCTCAAGGGATCTCTTCTTCCCCAGCATTCAGTCCATGTGCTTCTTACTTGAGAGCTGTGCATGGGACATACTCATGGCTCACTGAGGCTCTGATTCCCTGGACCCTGTCATCAGTGCAGGGATGGTCTCATAACTCTATGAGGGTCAGTGAAAATCAGGCTCAGGAATTTCCTTGGATTGTTGAGAGAGAGGTGTTCTTTTTGTTGCTAGATTTGAACTCAGGAGGGTATAGTTTTAGAGAAACCTAAGAAGAAAACAATATGGAGAAGAAGAGAGTGAGAGATGGTAAGAGGTCTGGGTGCAGATGGTGTCATTTGAACCATTGAATCAAACTGTACCTAGAGCTTGTTAACTAGATTTTCTAGTTATTGTAGCTAGTATTTTTTTACTTCTTTAAACCAATTTGAGTTATTAATATATTTCTGTTTGTCAGTTGCAACCAAAAGGGGTCCCTCAACCTCCATTAAAGGCATGAAGAATGGTCTCTCCCATGGATAGTTTGTGAAACACGTTTACACTCATTGCCTTGATTCTCCCGACTCCCCCGTGAGGTTAGTGAAGCAGGAATTATCATTCCCATGTCACAGAGAAGGCAACTGAGGCTTCATGAGATTAGGATCCAGTCAGTGGCTTAAGAATGGCAGAATAAAAATCCTGCTCTTTTGAGTCTGATTTCAGTTTCTCTGCACCGATAATGACATGCTAAATTAAACTCTGATCATGCTCAACTAAATTACTCTAAAGTACCCCTGGAAATAGCCTCTCAGAATCATAATTCATGCTGGGTAATTACAAAATAACTTTCTTCTCATTATTTTCCTGCCTACATACCTCCAAGGGAAGGGTTGGTGATAAATGTCAGGGCTGGGAAAATTTATGTAATTATTTAGATGTCTGGCTGATAGATATCTTTTATCATGGTGCTACGATCTGCTTTTAACTTCTTCTTGATGACAAAATGGGAACCCTGCATTTCATATTCCCAACACAAATAAAATTATTTTATTAAGAGATTTTTGAGAGCCTTCCTCATGTGATTCCATTTTTCTGGAATGATGCTCCTCCCACCTCTAGGTCCTGTCCACCTTTAAAGATTGGCTTCAATAGCATGGATGCAGAGTGGTCTTACTTTATCAGAAATAGATTTTTTTCCCTCTTTCAGCCTCAGTTTTGTCCATTTTCAGCTGTGTTATATTCTTCCTACATTTTCTACAATTTAGAAAGTTATTAATTTTCTTCCTTTCCAATTGAATTTCCAGCCACATGTTTCACCTCTCTATCCCTAGCCCCTAGCTCAGGGCATGGGATGGGGTATCTATTCACTAAATATTTGTCGATGGAGTAAACCAGTGAATGAGTGGCTTGTTATCTCAGAGTATCCAAGAGAAGAGGACATGTGAACCATTAGAAACTTGGGGCAGAGAGGGCTCTGGGTTGGAGGCTCTATTGGTGGTTATCTGCAGTGAGGCTGGTCAGGGTTGGGGAGACGAGTCCTGAGAAGGAAGAATCCTCTAGGGAATACAATATGAGAGCAGAGAAGTATAATGCCAAGGACCAAGACCTACAGGATAGAAAAAGAAAAAGAATCCAGGGAAGGGGACAGGGATGGGTAGAAACCATGTTTTAGAAGCCAGGGCAGGAGGGGGCTCAGGAAGAAGAGGGAATAGACAGCAGTGGTTCATACCCCAATACATCGCCCGAGCACCTGATTCACACCTGACTTACTTTTCCAATTATTTTTACCCTGACTGTAGCAGTTGGCAGATTTCCAAGTGGCAGTGCAATTTTGTTTGCTGCCTGCAATTCCCACCTCTCTAGGTTAGCAGGCACGAGTCCTCTGACCTTGCCAGCGAAGGTGACACCTCTCAATTTAGCTCTGTCTGCAAATGTCAGCTGAGATGCTACGTGCTCTCTCCACTGAGTTTTAAAGTATATTCACAGGAGCCCAGCCACAATGAGACCCATGCATCTTATATCCTCTGCTCCCTTAGGAAGCAAGGGCATCTGCCGGAACACGACTTTGCAGCCCACGTTTGTGGGGATCCTCACCAGCTTTCAATATTGTTGTGGCAAAGGGAATACGAATGTGATTTGAGTGAGGAGTCTCAAGTCTGAGGAATCAATAACATGAAGAGAGGCAAAGCTAAGTCTCTGTCATTCTAGGAAGTGGTCTCTAGAATTCTAGGAGCTGAGTTCATCACACTCCAAAGAGTGACACACACCTGGGTCCCTTTCCTTTTGAAGGGCCAAGCCTTCCACAGCCAATGACATGTTCATGATAGCTAGAGATTTTAATAGATGCTAGTTTGGAGTACTTACAATGGGCTCAGTACTGTTGGTCTTTTTTACAGGTGTTCATCTTACTGAATCTTCCTCTGGAATCCTGTCGGGTCATTATTATTGGCTCCATTTTGCAGATGAGAAAACTGAGGCTCAGAGAGGTGGTATAACTTGCTGAACATCACACAGAATGTATAGCATGGAACTGGGAATCAAACTTGGGTCATGCCTTTTCCCATTACCCCTACTTCGTGGAGGCACCCAGCCGTGCTGCTTACCTGATGGGGACTGTCAGTATCTGTCACTGTAATTAGCTAACTGGGGCCTGGCCCTGTGCCTCGATGTTGGAAGCCAGCCACCTGGAAAGTTGTGCCAGTTTGTGTGGCCCAATGGGTGGAATTTCTCCATCATACCCACTCCTCTGCTTCCCTCCTCACCCACTCAGGGTTCCTGCTTCTGATGGGGGCAGGGACAGCCAGTTGACAATTTAGCTCCTTAAAGCAAAAAAGAGTCTTTCCTTCCTGATCAGTAAAAATCCAAACAGGAAAAAAATAAGTAAACAACCCTATTTTAAAACAGGGTTTAGCAAGATTCTTTGCTGTTCCCCAGGGAGAGCCAGTGCTTTATGATTTACTGGGTATTAAGTGGGGGTGGAGATGTCCTTTGTGACTCAGGTGAGGAACTGCCAGCACCCACCCCGGGTTGCCTACCCTCCTTGGTTACATCCTAGCTACAGCCAGGACATGTGAAGGACAATCAATGAACCAGCAGGCAAGCAGCATGAATAGGGAGGGAAGAAAGCCTTCCTCCTGGGCTCTTCTCACAAAGAAAATGACCATCTAAAACAACAGGATTAACAAACCAGCCTCTGGAAGCGTGTTGGGTAGGACTGGGCCAACCACCACCCCCTGTGTGTGCTTCATTTGGCTGGTCTGACTTCATAGTGGGGCTGGGTAGTGATGAGGAGGTGGAGGCAAGGGTGGCAGGGGGTGCTCATTGGCTCCATCTGTTCCTCACCCTTTGCCCCACCCTAAGCTGTCTCCTCTGTTGACCTGAAGCTTTGGCTCAGAAGCCGGAATTTCGTTTGCAAACAGCACCCAGGGGCCTGGAATCTTTCTTTCCTGTCACCCTGAGTCCCTGGGCTGTGCCGACTTCCTTGTTAGGCAGCTCTAAGGTGAAGTAAGGCTTTTCTACCTTACCTGCTTTCCACCCATTGCAGTCCTCCTGCCCAATTCCTGTAAGCTGCCGGGACTACTCCACGCCACAGGAAAGCAGGTTCTGGGCCTCATCACATCTGGTTCCTGGGTCACCCTCTGAACTACATCCTGAGTGGCCCTTATTCTCTTGGTTCTGATGCTACCAACTTTGTTCTGTTCCCATCCCAGGAACAGCCAATAGCCTCTCTATTGTAGCTTTCTCAGCTTGGCTTTCCAGGCCTTTCTGAGGACCCCCTGATAACCAAACTGCATGTCCTGGGAAAGAGGTCTCTTCATATGGAACCATTCAACACAATTCAAATTCATTCAGTATAACACTCCATACTTTCTCTTTTGCAGTAATTACCAGACTTGCAAATACTGACTCGACTTCTATTTTTTCCAATACACCAAAACCACAACAACGGCAACAGTGAAGACTAATGTTTACTGGACACTCACTATGTGCCGGGATCTGTGACATGTGCCCTTTGTATGCTGCCTCATTTAATCTGACAACAACTCTGGCAATTAGGTGCCAGTATGACTGTGATTTGATAGATGAGGCACTGGAAGCTCAGAGAGGGTAGGTGACTTGCCTGAGGTCACAGTGGGCAATAAGCCAGGCCGAAGGTAGGAGTTCAATGCCTGTTTGCTGAATGAATTAGACAAATTGGCCCATGTGTTTGTGGCCAGTGGGTGCACTGAGGATGGATGTGCTGGGCAGGTGTACTGGCCCATGTGGGGGCTGGAAATAGATCCAGGCAAGCATAAGGAAGAACTTTCATGGGGCAAGAGCTCTTGAGTAGGCTCAACATAAGGTGTTCAGATTAGGGGAAAAGGAGAGGGAAGAAGGGAGTTAAGCCTCAGGTGGGGGACAGGCAAGATGACCTTTAAGATCCTTTCCAGCTCCAAGAATCTGTGGTTGTTACATAATTCTTAAAGAAACGAATAAAACCCTTTGCAAATATGATGCGCTTCCAGCCTCAGCTCTATGCTGTTATGAACAGGAGCTCAGGGGATATTCATTTTGTTGCAATAAATGTCAACAATGGTAAGGTCTTAAGCCCTTTGGGGATCAGTGTCTATGTCCAGTCATCCAGGAACGATATTAACAACAGCTGGCATTTGTGGAGTGCTTACTACATATCGGACAAGATTCTATAGAGCAATAGTAGGCAATATTTATGGAGCGCTCAGGTATTAGGCAAGTGAGTATATATTAGGCAAGTTGTATCTTTTGCATGCATTAACTCAATTCTCACAGCAAATCTATGTGAGAGTGATGGATTAGTCAGGCAAAGATGCAATATCAAATTAACCCCGAGTCATCAGTGGCTTTATACAATAAAAGTTTATTTCTCGCTTTCTTTTTTCTTTTCTTTTTTTTTTTTTTGAGATGGGAATCTTGCTTTGTTGCCCACGCTAGAGTGCTGTGGCGTGATCTCTGCTCACCGCAACTTCTGCCTCCTGAGTTTAAGCAATTCTCCTGCCTCAGCCTTCTAAGTAGCTGAGACTACAGGCATGTGCCACTGTACCTGGCTAATTTTTTTGTATTTTGAGCAGAGGCAGGATTTTGCCATTTGGCCAGGCTGGTCTTAAACTCCTGACCTCAGGTGATCCGCCCACCTTGGCCTCCCAAAGTGCTGGGATCACAGGCATGAGCCACTGAGCTTGGCCTATTTCTCACTTTCTTAAATTCCAAAGAGGTTGGGATATTTTTTACCTTTTCTGTTTCATATGTGGCCTCCAAGGAGGCTGTGGTAAGGAAAGAGACTGTGAAGGAAGGTGATGTGTTTTCTATTTGCAACGCAAGACCCTATTGTGATAGTTTAACGAGGAATCAGATGTGAGGCATTTCAAACCATGCCTTCTAGAAAATAAAGGCTCAATAAATGCCAGTGATGACAATAGTGATGATCTATATGATTGGAGAGGTGGTGGGGGTCCCCACATTGCTGTGCACAGAAGTGGGAAGACGTAGGAAGGTAGAATCTCAAATTAGCTAAATCCTGTTGACTGGAGTCATCCAGGCACCTGTCAGGAGGTTCAGTCCAGTTCAAGTTTAGAGGCCATCCTGAACAGATAAGGGAGTGTATCAGCTGCCTCAGCCCACTCTCTGCCAGGTGTCTGGTGCCTGGTAATACTTAATACTGTACCCGCCCATGTCATCTATGCGCCTACCTCTACATAGATTGTTCTGTCTCTGTGACTAAGCATCTGGTAGATCATTCTGGTCCAATATCATATCATCATATCATATCATATATCATAATCTATCATCTATCTATTTCCATCTATCTATATATCTCATTCACTTATCTAATTTCTCTCATCTATTACCTACTATCTTCTATCATCTATCAATTATTTATCTACTATTATCTATCTAATTATCTACTATTATCAACCTGTCTTATCTATCTTTCATTATCTCTGGACCTATCACCTATATAATCTCTCTGTCATCTATTATCTATGTTCCACTTATCTAATCTATTTATCTGTCAATCATCTATGTATATTTATCATCTATGTATGTGTATATGTATGTATGTACCTGTCTTTCACCTACCTACCTACCTACCTACCTACCTACCTACCTACCTATCTACTTATGCGGGGATTGCATCCATTCCTAAATTTCTTACAACTCGTTACTCTGTCTGACCCTTGTTAGGGTCCAGAGCCATGATGCTGGGAACCGTTCATTTAAGGGAACCTCTGCTGCCTTATAGGCTCTCCATGAATACCGGTGGCTTCCCAGACCTGTTCATGTGCTTCATGTTATTTGACTGTCCTCAAGATGACCAAACTGTGTTTCCCATTCCTTTGTCCTTGGAAAGAAGTATCTTTCTTCCCCTTTCCACCGGTCTAGTTGCTTCATGCCTAAGTTGCTCTGAACCAAGGATCTGAGAGATGGGGAACAGACAACTATTTAATCAGAGGCTTTTTTGCAGAGGGATTGCTAGCTTGGTTCTGGAGTCAGACCTACCCTGCTGTTTTCTTGCTGAATCCCATTGGCCAAGTCACTTATGTGTCAGTTTTCTTGTCTATAAAATGGGGATAATAATGTTGCTTAATTCAGACGGTTATTGAGAAGATTAAATGAGGTAATCTATAAAAAGTGAATAGAACACTGGCCAGCACATGGTAATACATATTAGGTGTAATAAAAATTGTCATTATTTTAATCTAAACCTGTCTGTCTCTAAGTCTTCTGCTTTCCTACTCAATCACACATCATAAATGTATCCCTCGATGGAAAGCCAATCTGAGCAGACTAACCTTGATTTTTTTCTTTATTCTGTTAAATTCACAGGGGATACTGGAGAAGAGTATTTTTAGGAGGTGTTACTGTGAAGCATAGCAGGTGGCCAGATGGTAATGGAAGGAAACACAGCCCCTTCTATCATCTACAAGAACAACTGAGTGGCATTCAGGTATGTAATGAGAGAAACTACATTTCTAGAGACATCATCTTGGATCCAGGTGGAAGAAGGTGGCACCATGGAATCTTGCCAGACAGTATGCCTAGGAAAAAAGCAATTGTGCCCAGTCCCTGTTCCCTAGGTAGTCCGTTCCTTGCCTTAGCTGTGACACCTGGGAATTTACTGCCGTCCCCCTTTTGCAAGCTTTCCTCCAGAGGATGGTGATGAGGTCATGTCCAGATGATATTCTCCTGTAGCTTGTGTTCCTAACAGAGTTGACTCCTTCTTTTCTGATCACAGGCATTGCTAGAAAATCAAATTATGCCTCTGGTAATAATATCTCAGTGGGAAAGGAAATTCCCTTGGTTTCAGAGTTTCTCTCTGGAGCCCCACTCTTCTCTTCTTTGATTTGATTTTACTTTTATTTCTTGAGAGGATATAGTAAATCTAGTGGTCATTTTTCCATTTCTTGACTGCTTGGCATTCATTGCTTTCTCAAAATCTCATCTGGTAAGCATCTGGTAGATCATTCAGGTCCAATATCATATCATCATATCCTATCATATATCATAATCGATCATCTATCTGTATTTCATGTATTTATACATCTCATTCACTTATCTAATTTCTCTCATCTATCAATTATTTATTTATCTACTATTATCTATCAATCTGTCTTAGCAATCTTCCATTATCTCTGTATCTACCACCTATCTAATCTCTCTGTCATCTGTTATCTATGTTCCACTTACCTATTCATCTATCAATCATCTATGTATATTTATCATCTATGTATGTGTATATGTATGTATGTACCTGTCTATGGTATATGAATCTGCTACCATTATATCTGTGAGATTTGGTGGGAAAAGGATTCCCAGTGCTTACCTCCTGTTCCTAGGGAAGCCAAGGAGGACCACTTACTTCTTTTCCAGTCTTAGGAAAAGCCAAGAGAAGGCGAGTGTCTAAACCCGGGCAAGCAGATACTTCTTTTCTGGGTTTTAAACATTTAGTCTATGACTGGGGGTGTAGAGATGGTTGGAGAACCTGTCTTTGAAGACTGAACTGGATAACTCATGGGGAAGTCTATGCTGGGATTCCTAGACTCTCCCTTGAGGCCACTTTCTACTTTGATTCATTCACAAAAAAGGGTGTAACTTCATAACTTCCTGGTCCAGATAAGTGTCTTAAATATGTGAGGTAGTGGAGTGAGGAAAAGAGGAAGGTTAGGCCAGTGGGGAGTTCAGGCTTCTCCTAAACAAAGCAATGGAGAGCCTGAGTTTTGAGTGCAACCCAGCATCTAACATAGCTAGTGTTCTCATACTTGTTTGAAATGTCCCAGAAATACCAACCTTTTAGCATCCAAGCTATATGCTTAGAATGCTCCTTGTTCCATGGTATATATAAGCCACATTTTTTTAAATTCAGCCTATTGTTGATGGGCATTTGGGTTGGTTCCAAGTCTTTGCTATTGCAAATAGTGCCACAATAAGCATACGTGTGCATGTGTCTTTATAGTAGAATGATTTATAATCCTTTGGGTACGTACCCATTAATGGAATTTCTGGGTCAAATGATATTTCTGGTTCTAGATCCTTGAGGAATCGCCACACTGTCTTCCACAATGGTTGAACTAATTTACATTCCCACTAACAGTGTAAATTAAAAGTGTTCAAAAAAAAAAAAAAATAGAAGAGGGCTCCTTGTTCCCAAAAGGTACCTCCAAACCCTTTCTCAGACTATGTAGCCTGATTTGAAGACCAGAAAATCAAGCCTCCACAGTGAAGCGGCAGAGGGCTTTGAGGGGTGCAGCTCTGAGCTGGGATCAGAGCTGACCTCCGGCATCTGGCCCAGGTGCTCCCTTCCCTCTCTGTGAAAGACACCAAGCTGTGCTTACCAAATGGCATGGCGGTGGGCACCAGGGATGCCTTTACCTGAGGTGGGGAAAGACATTGATTGCTATATTAAGAGTTGGATAATCCTGCTTATAAGAAGGAAGTTTATGTCTTATCCATGTCAGCCCAGGGCTGACACCCTGGCTCCGTGGTCCTGGGCAGCTGACTCTTTCTTTGCTATCCTCCAAATGCACATTCCACCTAGTGGCTGAGATGCTGATTCAGCTCCCACTACCACAGGGCTCTGTCCAGCAAGCAGGAGCTATTGGGAGGGGAGAGCATGCTTCTATTTTTTTAAGGCCTGACCCATGGCTTCTGCTCATAACTCATTAGCCTCAATCCAAGCATTTGGCCACAGCTAGCTGCAAGGAAGATTAGGAAAGATAGCAGCTACTGGGTGGCTGTGTGTCCAGATAAGATACCTGTTTATAGAAGAAAGGGAGAATAGTTATCAGGGAGATAACCATCAGTTTCTGCTCTGAGCTTCATGTGTATACCCACGACCACCCAATAATCTTTCTATTCTCTCATCAGAGCGAAACATCTTCATGCTTTTCACACAGCAGGAACTTAAAGGACCTGAATGAGGTTCTGCAGGAATATCTAATGGTAGATCTTCAGGCGCTCGGCAGATGGGCAGAGGAGACATTTTCTGACAGGGACCCTGAGTGCTCTTCCTGTCTTCCCATGCTGGCAGTCACTTGCTCTTTTTGTTGAACTTTTTCTGTCTCCACTATGTATTCTCTTCTTCAGCCATGCTTAAACTCAGATGCTGTGACTCCCATTCTAGCAAAGGCAGCCCTGAGCAGAAGGCTTTAAGAGTGATCCCCCCTGGAGAAGCCAACCAGTGCTCCCTGCCACATCTCTTCCATCCCTCCTGGTATGCCCGTGGCCTCTAATTCTCCCGTTTGTACACTTTGTCCTTGTGCTGCCAGGCCACACGTGTCCTTGTGCTGCAGGCATGGACATCTGAAAGGCCGCCCAAGGAGAACCAGTCCACAGGCTGGGCTGGGCAAATTGCATTCTGTCTCTGGAGAACTGGAACTGAGCAAACGGAACTAAGTCAGTTAGTTGATGGAGGGGCTTGAACTCAGAGGTCACATAGAATTAGGGTCAGAGTTCCTGCCATGAGAAATCAAAACTGTGTATAAACTGCAGGTTTTGAAGAGTACAGAGGAGCCTCAAGTAACCTCCAAGACTGATCTGCTCTAGGCTAATTGGGCAGATATGCAGGGAGTGGGGAGAGACGGTCTGGCTAATGAGAGATTTTTCCCATTCCTCTTCCCATTCTGTGTGCCCAAGCTCTCTGCCATTGCCCATCTTTGTGTGCTTGCCTGGTTGGCACAGTTAGCAAAGTGTAATAGCTGGGAGTGTGAACTATGGTCTCGGATTGCACTGGGTTCAAGTCACCGCTCTTTTGTCCCTAAGACCATGAGTATGGGCAAGCAACCTAATCAAGTCAGCCTTGGTTTTCTCATCTGTAAATGGGGATTCTAGGAGTACTTCCTAGGACAGCTTGAGGATAATGCAAGTGACAAGTGCACAGGTTAGCTTGGGAAGGTTTCTCAAGGCTTTCAGGTTTCCTGTCCTCCCTCCCTCTCCCCGCCACCCTCCCTCCCTCCCTCTCCCCCTACCCTCTTCCCTCCCTCCCTATCTCCCTACCCCTTCCCTCTACCCACCCCTGCCCCCTCCCTTTCTCCCTCCTCTCCTCCCTCCTTCCTCTTCTTCCTTCCTCCCTTCTTTTTTGTAACCAACAGTTCAGGACAAAGGGGAAGGCATCTGAAATGCCTTCAGGTTCCAAAGGGCAGTGAAGAGCCTTGCCTGCCGGTCCACACACACCCTGGTTAGGGAGGCAGAAAAAGCAAGAGGGTAGGAAGGAAATGCAGAAAGGGGAGGAGGGAAGAGGGGCCTGTGGAGGAGAGGAGGAAGGAGAACAAATGAGGGAAAGGGGCAGGGAAGGAGCAAGGCACTGACCACCTGCAATGAAGGAAAAAGAAGTTAGTCACTTTCCCCTCCAACTGCCTTAGAGATGTGACCTTGTCCTCTGAATTAATTCATGGAGTGATTTGCCTAATTTGATTCTGTTCCTTCCAAGCCTCGAGCCCACTTTCCTTCCTTTTGTGGATGAGGAAACTGAGGCCTCAGAGGCTCAGTGACCTGCTCAGGGAGATGCAGTGAGGAGGTAGTGGCCCTGGTGTCCTGCTGACTCTGACTGCAGTGCCGCCCCCTCTGGCACACACTTGTGTTCCAGAGATACCCTTGTAAGATACCCTTGATGCCTGGTCGTTGGCTCTCCTCCTCCCCTTGCCTTTGCTCTGTATGGGAAGAACCAGACGCAGTGTGCTTGAAGAACCTTCCAGAAGTCTACACTAATGAATTTTTATTTCTTCTCACATGAGAAGTTGAGACCTTCTGACCTCAATATGGAAAGAGACGCTAAAGATGTAAATCAGCCACTCTCAGGTTCATCAAAATAGCTCAGCAATGCAGCTCCCTCCTCCCCCTCTCATCCAGCATCTGAGCTCCTGCTCCTGGTCCCTGCTACCTTTCTGTTAACTTCTTTTTCCTTCACTGCAGGTGGTCAGTGCCTTGCTCCTTCCCTGCCCCTTTCCCTCATTTGTTCTCCTTCCTCTTCTCCTCCACAGGCCCCTCTTCCCTCCTCCCCTTTCTGCATTTCCTTCCTACCTTCTTGCTCTTTCTGCCTCCCTAACCAGGGTGTGTGTGGACAGACAGGCAAGGCTCTTCACTGCTCTTTGGAGCCTGGAGTGCAATACACTAACATTATTTTGAAGAATTCCAAGGTCCTCTGGATCCTCGGATGCCTGTGCTGTGGGTGTGGGGAAGGTAGGGAGGCCTGTGGTATGGTGGCCATACTGCAGACACTGGCACCATCCTGCTAGTATTCAATGCCCAGCTATGTCTAGGACAAGTAACTACACCTGTGTGGATCTCTGCTTCATTGTCTGGAGAAAGTCAGCAACAACAGTATCCATCTTACAGGGTTGCTGGGAGGAGAACATGAGGTCATGCAGGTACCTAGCGCAGAAAAATCAGCCAGCAATGATTAGTCATTGCTATCTTCTCAAAGTCCTGTAGACCACAGGTGGTCCCAAGACA